ACACCACCACTAAAAAACCTCGAGGTATAACCCTTTTGAATTTTTTTATTTCTTGAGGTAAGCCAGTGCTGGCATGATACTGCAGAAAGTGTATATCAACAGAGTACTTCTCCTTGATATATCCAACTCTATTTGCAAGGACAAAGATCACAGTTAGTTATAGGATCTTTGCAAAATGTCCTGACTTCATCATATTTAATCCRTATGGTTGACTTAAAGTTGTTCTTTCAGGTACCTTTTTTTTTCTCCTCAATATAAGACAGCTGTATCTAGTGGATCTTACTGAACATAACATATGCCTTTACTCAAATGTGATTTTTTTAATTCAGAAATCTAAGACTTTAGCAATCATCCTTCTATGGGAAAAGAACTGTCTCAGAAGACATGTTCATTGCCTCTGCAGGCCTTCTGTTCCCCCATACAAAAGAATCCTGGCAAGTAGTGAAGGGACGGAAGAGGAGTGGTTTGTATTCCCAGGATAACTGTGTCCTTCTGAATGACTATTTCAAGAAAGAACATGCAAAGGAATGAAGCAGTTTAAAAAGAGCCATAGCCACAGATTGGGAGCTTTTCCTTTATGAGTTCCAAAACCAATTCTGCTCTGATTTCTGTTGAACACAATTGCTAACCAGTGTCATCTACAGTTTGCTTCTAGCCTGATGAGAGTAACATCACACAAAAATAACATGAGTTTAAAAAAACCTCCCTGTGCTATTTTTTCTTTTCATTTTTATTCTGTTTGGGAAGGTAGTGACATCMTTTCACAATTTAACACAAATTTTCACATATATGTACTGGAATGCATGTCCTGTATTTTCAGGCCTATGAATCCATGAGAGTCTATGCAATTCTATTTATTCTATATGGATATGAATCTATGCAGAATTAAATTTTAAGCTCTTACTGAAAGCTTAGTTTAGAGACACGTTTAAGCAGCATGCAGATTTCCAGGACAAAGTCATGCAGCAACATTTTACAGCAACGAAAAATAAAACCCCAGTCCCCAGTATTTTATGACTATTTTCTAAAAAGTCTTATTACACATTTAGTCCAAGAATGCCACAACCTTTCTTGACTGCATTACTAAGTGTCAAAATTGAAATGTTTTGAATATCACCAAGTTATTTCCTTAAATAGTTATCATAAATTGTAGTTAAAAGACTATGCTAAAAAGTCCCCCCAGAACGATAGTGAGAGGGAACATCAATAAAATGTAGTTAGGAATATTCTGAAGAGGTACTTCAAGGAGAAGAGTTATGATGTTTTTAAAGTAAAAAGCATATATTCAACATGGCAAAATATGTTCTATAATTTAAGGTTTTCAAAGCTAGCATTTTTTCCCCATGATATTGTTGGAAGGTGCACCAAAAGATAGATCACGCAGCATAAATCTCTCTTTATTGCCCAAGAACTGCCGAAATATTATGTCTGGTTGTTTTTGAAGTACATGGTGTTCCAAGAGGGCATATAATTTTGGTTGAGGAATTATTTGATGGTTGAAATAAGGTGAACCAAAAGAAAGCAAAATACTGACCCTTCAAAGTTAAGGCACAAAAATATATTTACTGCTTCAAATATAGATTAAATATCCAGTGCAAACTATCAAACTACCTTCTAAGCCAAGTGCTAAAATTTGGATCAGCCTGGTAAAATGTCATCTCCTGAGAAATCAGTCATCTTCAGTGAAATGAAGAACTTACTCAAACTGGATGCTAACCATAAAAGTAATTAGGATTTCTTTTTCAATTTATATGTTACTCAGGGTTAGCACTGATCTCACATTATCAAAATAAATGAATATGATAACAAACAGAATAGAGAATATTGAATTTGAGTATCTGCCAAACAAATAGCAAGTTTTTGGTTCTATGATGACCCCACTGCTAACCGAAGCATAGTTTACAAATACTCATTTTACAATTCAAAAAATATTTTTCCCCTTCAGCTAGGAATAGATTTTTGCCTAGTATGCCAGCCAATTAAAACAAAAGAATGAATTAAGATGTAGGGAAAGTTTGCAACGATGCTGCAAAAGATCAGAGGCATGAAATAGAAAGGAAGGAACTATACTCTTGCACAAGAGTAGAGTTGCTAAAACTGAAAATCAAATTTGAGTCTGGAGTCTCTAAATCAGGCCATTCACTTTTTCTTCTTCTTCCTTACTTGTGTTTGACAAAACTAAGCTTTCTCTGTTCATATTGGGACATAGAGAAACTATTGTTGTTCTCAGATGCTTCAGAACTAGGACTTGATATGGCTGCCAGTTTCTCTTATCTTCCCCCTATTTACCAGATCCAGTGTTAAAAACACCAAACATACACCCTGATCACACCTAGTTTTTTAAAACTTATTTTAAGAGGTAGGCCATTTTGGATCGAACAAGAGAAGCCTCAGAAACTTTTGGGAATTATTCAAGACAATACAAGGTTGTATACAACTGAAGAAGTAAGGAAGGAGAGGATAAATAGAAAAGGCACTTTCAGTTGCTAGCTAGTGCAGAAGCTWGGCTGTGTGTCAAGATTTAGTCAACTATTTATTAAAAAAGACATGAATTATCAGCACCATGTTACACTAGCATTTGTTTCCATGCCAATATCAACCACTGCCAATTATTTTTATTCCTTCGGGAAAGTATCTTTCCCCAGAGCAGGGAAAGGATGGGGAAGGAAATTGTAAGTTGACTTGCTGAAAGCTTCATTTTCAAGTTGTCCACTAATACCCCTTTCCTTTAAGCATACAAACAAAACAGTACAAAAATATCACCTACTTGGTAGAAATGTTTGCGTTCTTCCRAAAAGAAAACTAGCAACAAATAATTGAAAGAATAAAAGGAGCCCAATTTCTTGAAGAAATAATCCATAGCATTTCATCACATCAGAAAAAAAWATATATATATACACATATATATAAATGACAAATAATCATTCAATTTCTGTAAAGAACTTACCTACAAAGATGATGATAGGAAAGATAGTTTGACCATTCTACTTTTCAAATCTTAAAATTATTATATTCTTAGCTGTTTGGGACTGTAAAAAATGGTGTGGATCTTTTACAGATTTTTTTCCATGGACAGTTTCTCATATTAAACAGCTCCCACTCTAATTTTTAAAAGAAACTATAACAAAGACATAGTAGAGCAAGCAACTTGAGATGGTTTTCTGTCAATGAGGCAATCATGTGTAAAAGTCCTTATTTCTGCTATTCATTTGTAAGTAATAGTAGCAAACAGAATAAACTAACATTATATTTATGTATCAGATTTAGGTACAGATTTATCCACTGGATTTTGATAATCATTTATTACAATGCCAAATAGTCTACTGGAAATAAAAATGTACACTGATTTTCTAAAAATATAAGCTTTTTTTTTTTAGGCAAAGTATCTAAACCATCATAAACACATTTCCAAAAAAAATTATAAAAAGYCTTTTCTTATAATGAGTTACAATTTTAGATATTGTATGATTCTAAGTACAATAAATTACTGGAAAGACAATAACAGCTCACTTTTCCACAAGAAACATTAAAAACTACTGAAAAAGTGCATGAGTAAAATTTAGAAAATACTCTTTATAACTTAAACTTAAAATATTGTGATTTCCTGTGTTTTTTAATATTATTTTAACTAATGATGTCTGATTGTTAAATGTTCTTAATTATAGAGATTGAAGACCTGGACAAATTGCCTAGAAAAGTTMATTGAATGTTTTTTGATAAGGGAAACATGCACAACACCTCTTTGCCCCATCCATATTTGTAGTATTGATGACTGAAAATAGATCAAGTTTCCATAATTTTAATTTTGTAAAATGGTGGTGATCAGTAGCATTCATTTCATGGGATATTTCTTATGTAGTTTTATAAAGTTGCTAAACATTTTCACAACAGGCAATGCTTAATATAGAGATACTAGAATCATATTAAGAAAAAGGAGGGGAGGTGACAGGYGGAAGAGAGAAATCTAGGGCTACCACCTGTTCCATGCCCATGCCAAGAAGAAACAAAAAATTTGTTTGGGAATGCACAGAAAGGATGGAAATTAGTCTTACTTAATAGTAAGTTAAGTGCAGTATCTTTAATCAGACAGCTTACGTAGAAAATAGGCAAGTCTTCTAGAGAACTGGATTTTGAATTTCCTCARTTCCATCAAGTCACACTATATTTAATGAAGAATATCATACAAATGCTGAGATATTAACATTTAGACTGTGCTTATGTTGAACATCTCTCTGATGTCCAGCATGTCAATCTAAATCTGCTTGCCTAATGCCATTGATATAGACTTGAGAGAAGGGGAAAAAAAAATAGTAGATCAACTCAACAATAATATTTTACAATAATGATTACAGCGAAGAACCTTGAATATCTTTATCTAAAAACAAAACACTGAATCTTCTCAGTATTTTGAAATTAGAGTTGAGCTCAGAATTTTGAAAGTGAGAATCACGTCTGAATGCATTCTGAACGTTGATTACACACATAGAAAAAAACTATTGTAAAACTGCCTAAAGTATGTTTTTTTCACCCCAGTCTTTTTACAAAATATTAGATAAAACACTTATCAAAGCCTTACCYGTAATCGCTGAACATCATCAATGCATTGTTTCTCTGCTTCTAGGATTGCAGATTTCAACTCTGAGTTTGGAAAGAAAACACATTTTATGAAAAGATACTTGAACATGTGATAGAGTTAAAATGTTAGCTGTTCTACCTCAAGTTATCCATTTAAAATTAATCAAACAGGCTGCATATACAAACAAAGCAAACTATCTCAAATTTCATTTTGTAACATGATTCAGTTTGCAGTGTGTATTTAATACGATTCAGAATTAAATGGAATTATAGAAGCATACAAAACTTTAAAGAAAGCTTTTGCCTTTATCAAAGTTTCCATTTCATAAAAGGTAGTTACTTATAACTCTGTTATCAATATTCCACAGAAGGTCTAGGGAAAATGCTCATGCATGTTCTTCCCAAACAGTCGCATCAAAAAGTGTTCTTATACTATACAAACCATATCTTTTTATGAAAGGACAAGAAAACCTATATGGCAACTTGTAGTAGCTCTGGCATTTTCTCATGTCKTCCACCAGCCATCCTCTGCTCTGATATAAAGCTTTGAATATCCACTATGAAATAGACAGATATCTAGAGACTGAAACTCACAGTGGGGTTGAAGGAGAATTTGGCTTAACAGTGCAAGTACGTCTTATGAAACCTCCACTTCATCCTTGCAGCCTCCCCAACATCTCAGCCTTGCAAAGGGATGATGTGAGAAAGAGGAGGGACCAATACACAATACAGTAAGTGCACAGTCACTGCTTCTCAGAACTTGAGGCATTGATACTGAGCACGTAAAACTAATTCTTCATCTATGGATTGAATTCCATCATTCTCTCATTTAGGTAAAAAAGAAATAAAAATCAAGCATGGATTTGACTTTCAGTTTTGACCACATGATACTCATTTAGACAAAAAAATAAACAGAACGTGTTCATTACTAAGAATATTTGTTTTTCAAAATAACTGAGAAACCTAATGATTATTTAAGTATTCTTTTACTTATTTATTGTCTTTAGAAGAAAAGAATCTGTTTGTCTCAGATTAATAATTGTAAACAGAACCACAGATCACCAATCATCACTGTCACAATAAAAAATAAAATAGCAGTAATTGAGTAAGGACTTCTATCTGTACATTTTCCCTGGTAAATGGAAAGACAGAATTTCCCCACACTTTTTTCCCTTTCTAATTTTAAAAACTGGAAAACAATCACTCTTTCTTCCAATATTTATTTTGGGAACCTGCATTTTCCTAAGGTGGGGAGAAAAAAAAAAAAAATCAAAGCTAACCACCAATATTTGAAGTTAAAAAAGAAAGATATGAACAGAATCCAGGTTTTCATTTGAAGGAGAAGTATRTACTGCACATTCCTATTTTTCTTCTGCAGTGGAATATTTTGATTGCCTGCTAGATAAAAGAAATTACAGATTTTATACTGGCTATGACAGAAGCATGCAATAACTCAGCACACATTCAGTACTCTGAAGTCCTTCAGTAAGTCCTTGCAGAGAACAGGGGCTTCCTGAATTTATGTAAGACAAAAAAAAGTCTTATGGTTAAAGCACAAGGCATTAAAAGCTCTGTTTTTCATTCTGTACTTTCCACAAAATTCTTCTCTTTTAAAGCCTCTCTGTGCCTCAGTTTCCTTGCTTAATAAGATGATACTTAGTAAGAAAAAAAAAAAACCATCAGCTACAAAGTGCAAAGTTCTCTAACTGGCTATGGCTAATGAAGTGGTTATGCCTTGTTAACTAGCATAGCCTACTTTTGTACATGGTTCAAGAACAGAAATATTTCTTAAACCTGTCCAGAGAACACAGGTCACACTCACTCTTATGAGTTTTAGGGGTGTTACTACACAGCGGGCAGATCCGCAGGACTGATTGCAGGAAGAGTATAATTTTATAGCTGATGGTCCATGATCACCAGTTTAAAATACCTGGACATCTAACCGCCCTACAGTTTGCTTACAGTCTCAGCTGTTGGAGGCAGGATGGGCAAAGGGAAAGTTTTATTGCCAGTGGCAGATATTCTGCAAGGATACTGCTTGAATACTAACATTTCTTAACTTTTTTACATTCTTCCATTTTTTACTAAAACAGCATTTGGAGTCTCATCTGACAGAACTGTCTCCTGGGATAAAGAATTGGGTGAGGATAGACTGTTACAGGATAAAAAGGGTCATCGCCTCTCACAAATACACAGAATAATTAACTTCCAGCAAAAAGCCTCCCCAGCAGGAACCAAAGAATATTAGCATTCTTAAAATATTCAAATGTTCAATACTTGTGTTACAAGTTACGTGATAGATGAGAGCTTCTTTGACTACCCAACCTGACTATCTCCCTAGAGGCTGTGTATGCAGTTTTAGATTTTTGTATGGTAGAGACAAACTTAAGATCAATGTCATTTTTGTTCACACTAAGCTTAGCCTATGTTCTAGTGCTGTACAAGACATGCACATATGCATGACTAATTTTAGAGCTATCTGAGGTCATTTGATGCCAGTAACTCTGTAAGTTTTCTGAACTGATCTCCCCACCATAGCTCTTAGAAGACCATTTGATAGTTATTCTCAGAGGCTTTTGGAAAAAAAAAAAAGATAAATAAGGAATATCAAAAATTAATGAAGAGTAAAGTAATCGAGAGGAAAATACGCATCCGGATGCCATATGGTGGCATGGATAACCTAGCTCAAGAAGAGGTGCCCTGTACTGTGACTGCACTACTTGCACCTGAGCCAGTTAAGTTACAGTCAGTATTGCCACAGTATTCTTTGTCCTGTTTCAGATGCAAAAAAAAAAATATATATATATATATATATATATGGATAAATATGTAACAACTGAAAGCACTGGGGTCAGACCTACCCTCCGCTCCTGTGCGCTTCCTGAATAGCTGTTTTTCCGCCACTGCACTGACTATACCTCCTGTTTCTCTTCCCCAAAACTCTTAATAGTCTCCTTTAGACTTAGCTTTGAGATATTGCTTTCTCAAGTACTCGCATGTGTCATCCTCCTCCTTTTGCTTTTTAATTCCTGTAGCAAACCTTTAAAATTGCCACCATGCAATTGTAATTGCAACAGATTGCTATACAAGTCTCAAGGGAGGGATGATATTTATATATCACCATTAAACAAATACACTACTGTCTTCATTCTTATCAAACATGTATTTGTTTAGATATTAGCCTGCCAAATGCAATACTTCTCTCAGAATATAATCAGCAATTTGCTTAAACTCTGACAGGTCAAGTTCTCCAGTGCTTTCAATTATTACTTATTTATCCAGAGATATTTTAATCTGAAACAGTGCAACAAATAGGCCAGCAGCAGGGAGCAAGGGAGAGGATACTGTGTTATACCTACAGAGAACTCAGAGTATTAGCTTGAAGTATTTTTCATTAATTTCCTACAGATTTACTGACTCTTCATTTACTGCAATGCCCCAAGCTTCTTCGTAGTCGGCTTCAGCCAAAACAAAATTTACCAATATCTTTCCTGCTTGCTAATGTTCTGCAAATAAGGCAATTTTGTCCTTTACAGTAAAAGTTCTGAAAAAAAAAAGGAAATGTGAATAAATTGGAAAGGAAAGTGTCTATACATTTATCAATACTTAATATTCATACAAATCTCTAGCTTATTTTTGAGTTTAGGCAAGCTTTGTTGCCTAAGCAAATATAAAGTCAGTCTGTGGCAATATAAACAATTTATTTTAAGCTTAGCCTGCCAAAACTTGCAAAATTAAATCCATTTATCCTCACACTATGGGTTAATCTTTGCTAAATAGGTCTGTGGAAAAGGCTAGTTTTGGTAAAGGCACTAACCTAGATCTCAGATTCAGCATGTTGGCGCTGTTTCATTTTGCATGAGGAGGTTTTGTAAACCTTAAGCACCTTACGGTTAGGACAAATTACAAGGGCAATAGATGCCTGGGTGCTAGTACCTGCATTGTTGCTTCTTCTTGTACATTAAGTGATACGGCATCAACAGCAAAGGATGAAAAAAATCAGATATCTAATAACCTGTTATATCTAGATTTGGACAATGTGCTATGGCATGAGATTAGCAGAGTTTAATCCCAAAAGAAGAGAAGAAACAGATTTAGGTTATATTTATATATAAATATCATAGTCACTGAACTTATTGTCACATTTTGTCCCCAAAATTATCTGAATCCAGAATGGAAAAAGGAATCTTATTTGTCAGTAAAAGGATCTAAAGTCTTCAACCCAAATTCATATTAGATATTTCCAAACTTCATCTTTATTTTAAGAAACTACCAAATAGCCAAGGCAACCTCCCTTAAACAACAACAAATACTGAAAAATCCAAACCTCTAATTCTTCTAATAATTCTCTTCCTTAACTCAACAACATTCCTTCTCTTTGTCCTCACAAATCACACAGCAAATTTGTTTAATATATACCACATTAAACTGATGATTACGTGCTTTACTATTTTAGGGATGAATTATCTAACTCCTTGCAGAATTCACTCTTGCCTTACTTAAAGCTTGGAAGTCATGAATAAGAAAAATACTGTACACATAAAAAAAACCTCCTGCCATATTCCCCTCTGAATCAATAGCTCTCCTAAAAATTAAAGTTTTTATGTAGAAGTTGTCTCTGATTTGAATACTGCATCTTTAGCTAATACAACAATAATACATTTAATGCAGAAATACAGCTTCTGTATACACAGTTATTTTAGTCTTTAGAAAAATGCTTTGCCCCTCCAGTTTGAAAAGAAAAGTACACATAAAACAATTTTGCCACGTATCTTGGGTCCTTTACCTTTCAGTGTTCACCTGAAAGGTCACTCACCTCCAGGATCTTCCACATGGCAAGCATGCAAATAATCAAACAAAAAATGACATTCTACATCTGCCTGAATGGTATTCAGAAAGTCATTTTTTTCTTTTCCCTCCATATCTTATGCCTCAAATTCACACCAACAAGCCAAGAAAATAATTAATAATACTTTTAAAGTTGACATCTCTGGTAATTTTTGAGAATTGTTTACGTTCCTTTTAGAACTGGTCACAATACAATTTTCCATTTTACTTTAATTCTATTTTCTTAATATTTTTGCATATTGACAGGGGTACTACTAAAATGCTTGTGTCATGCACAAAATGATGATTTTCAGTTGCATTTGGCTGATCGGACTGCAACTGACAAAAGGAACAGAGAAAATCTCTAAACATGAAGTATATAGAAAATGAATATTAGACAGAACAACTAGGAAACCAACCATTCATAAGATGAACATGTTTAAAAATTATTGATAATATCCTCATCGTAGAAATAGTCTTTTAAATTAGTAAACATCCCAAATTCACATATTTATAAATATTTTATCAGCTGCCTTCTCTAGATATAGAGTATACAAACCTGTAGGGAAACTAGCAAACAAACAAGAAAAAAAACAACAACAACAAAAAAACCAACCACACACACTCACCACAAACATATTGTTTATTTGCACCAGCCTTTACTGAGCTAAAGCAGCTAAGAAAAATAAAAAGCATGGTTTTCAGCCTACTTTCTAGTCCATGTTCATAAAAAAGCTGAATGGATGTCCCCCAGCTAAATATCCATGTCAAAAGATGCATGACTTTTTTCTTTGAGAACCCAACAGTGAATTCAGCCATCGCATCTGGGAGCACTTTGTTGAAGCTAAGAGCTAATGGTAGCTCATGAGTCCAATAGCAACTAGTGCAAATGTCAAGTACTGCAATGTTTCCCTTTCTGAACTACATCAGCGAGAGGGGCGCAGAAGCATTCCCTCGATGACTAATAGAGCTGCCTTGATAAAAGCCACAACACAAACAGAATCATATGTGCAATAGACTGCAGAATTATAATGCAATGCTGCAGTTTTGTCAGCATCACTTGCTGCTATGTGTTGCTATGATATATGGTGTCCATTTATATACTTTTCTTGCGTTCCAGAGGAAGTGGTAAAAGAAGTCCCAAAGAGAAACAAAACTGGAGTTAACTCCACCCAAAGCCTACAAGCAATACAAATAGCTCCGTTGAAATAATGACTTAATTCTTCAAATGTGAGAAAGGAAAAAGGAGTGGTAGGAAACGGAAAATTTGAGAATAGCCAGTGGCTCACCATGGAGGTCATGGGGATACTTGCAGCCTGATGGTGTTGAGAGTTATTGAATGGTAATGCAAAACCAATCCTCCAAAAACCTGTGGTATTGGCCCACATTAATAGAAAACATGTTTTAAATTCTCTTTTATATTTCTAAGCTATAAAACTTTTTTATTTATTTTTTCTTTAATTTTTCAGCTTAAAATGAAGTTTTTAATGAAAGCACAGAAGATGGAAAAAAAAATCAGGCTGGTATAGTGACCAAAAAACTTTTAAGATAACCTGACCTCCTAAGCAAGACCTCAACGTATTTTTCAGATAAACTCCTTTTCTGTTTGCAGGAAACTGCTGAATACACAAAGGAATACCTTACACCACTCTAATAACATTCAGTGCATCACTTGTGGACTTTTGAAGGTTTCCTTTTTTAAATGCCCCTATTTCATGGCTCTGAGGAAACATAAATTAGAGAAGAATAAAGGTCACAACACCTGGCACAATCCATTAGTGAGCCAATGCCAGGTGCACATCTTGATGGTTAAAAAAAGTATGGATTTTGCTGACTATCTTACATTATGCCTCAGGCTCCCAAACACAGCAGCTCTGCCCTCCCCCTCAGTGCCATGTATCACATTTGCATCCCAGAACTCTACCTCCTTCTGTCGTTTTGAGTCTTTTTTCCKCATCTGGAGGTTTGGGTGGGGGCCACGCAGATGGAATTCTCCTTGGAAAACTTCCTTCAATGTAATCCGATGAATGTGTGGGTTGGCTTACTGCAGCCCAAGTATAAAGCTGGTCTTGCTGTGGTTATTAAAAAAAAAAAGTTGAGAAGTTCATTGTATAAGAAATACAGGCTCAAAATATCAAACCATTTGCCTCCAACACAAATAGCTTGTTATCCACTCCTGTATCAATGCAGATTAGGTTTTATTCTCTTCATTCCCTACAAAGACTTAACACAAATCTACATCAAAAGAAATGAAAGTCGTAGTTTTAAAAAGATCTCTACTAACAATCGAAAAAAGAAAGAATCTAATCCTATATTTTATCTGCAGCACCAATCTCAAGCACCAGGAACAGCACTTTGGGATGTGATCATCATTTTTTTGAACCCATGAGGATTTTGCTTCCACTTCTCCTGCCCTTAAAGAGATAAGAGATTATTATATTATTATTTATGAAAAAAACTCTTTACCTGGGGTCTAGTTCATGAGTCAGAGAAGGAAAAATATTTCAGTTCAAACTCTTTGTAATACTTTTAAACCAAATGTGCAAATAAGAAAGTCTGAATGTCCCCCAGATCATGTCAGCATAAGCTGAAACTGGATATTTTTTTCTTTACAACCCTGCTAAACTGTTTTCCTCATTTACATTTCTATATTCATAGAAAGGCAGATAGAAAATTGACTTTGCCTTTAGAATTAAAAATATATTTAATATACACACACCTACACACACGTACACATCCCCGCAATCTTCTGTCCTCAAGTTAGAATGGTTATTTATTACTTAATAGCTTCAAGGAAATTCACTCAACAGTAGGAGAAAGCCAAATAATATGACAAAAGGTACAATAAACAGGTACTTATGTTTGAAAACAAAATTTATCTGACCACAGTTCAATTTGTTATTGACTCTCAACATGCACCAATGTGCGCAGGTTGTGATGAAATTATTATATACTGTATAACACTATAAAGATCAGTGACAGCAAGAGTATTAGCATCCCAGTAAGTGACCTGGAAATACGCAAAATTTTGTAATACAAAACTTGGGAAAAAAATATCAAACCACAGGATCAAAACACAGTCATATCACCCAGCAATATCTTTTTACGAAGATCACATTTATTACCCTTTTCTCCCGTTATTGCCTGAACATTGCAAAAGAAACAGTCACTTGTTAAGATATATTTTTATTAAGATATATTATATAAGATATGTTATTAAGATATATCTTGCTGTATGCTTCATTTTTAGATTAAAATGTTTAAGGTAAAAATAGGTGGATAAAAACAGTACAAAAATCAAATCTCATTAAGTTTGTTACCTAGCTCTCGCTGTGAACTGCGTGGTCTTTGAAAAGCCTTTTTCTCATTTGCTATGCTACTGAATTTGAGCATCCAATTAGGGAAGACTAGTGCAATTCTTTTAGTAACTATTATTCCATCTTCAGCTAATTAAGATTTTTTTTTTTCTTCCCCTCCCCACACAGATACATATTTTTTTTCCCCCCCATTTCTAGAATCCTGTAGGAGGGCGATAATCATACCTATACACAATGTGGTCAATAAAGAAGAGAAAAAAAAATGGTGCTTCATACTACTATTTATCTCATTATCTGTATTACTCAAAGCTCAAAAATAAAGGGAAATATTATGAAAAAGAGTTTTTCAGAGATAAACCAGAAGAAAATATTGTCATCCTTGTCCACTACTCAGAGCTGCACAATGCTGACCATCCAAGGAGTGATGGAGAGAACCACAGTTACGGCTGGTGAGCACAGTTGATTTTCAAAGGAACTGGCAGTAGGTTATATGGTCATGAAACAGAAGAAGATGCATTGTAGATGATAGTGACATAAYGTACATGAGGAAGAAAAACAGTTAAACTTTTTCTAGACAGGATATTTCAGCCATGCCAAATCTTTGATTGTTCTGTATCCTCTTTTAACAAGGAATTTTAGGAACATGAATAGTCTACATGCATTAAGACATAGTAACAAATCTCAATGCTTCTCAGGCTACAGGACAGATGGGACACATTATCATAAGATTTGAACACAAAATATCACTGTACTTGCTGATAGAATTTAGAGCATATAAACTATGAACAGTTATAAACATCACATCACTCTGATCCCTAGCTCAGCACGGCAGATTTGTTTGTGAGTGTAAAGATAATGTATTTTCTAGATTTTTTATTTTTTTTTGAAACTTTTCATTCACTATTCAACATATGAGAGGATGTCAGAATAAGCTTCTCACTCTAGTGATAAATATAAACTTGCTGCATCTAAGGAAGTTGCATTATAATTAGACCACATTAGAGCTCATTATATATATAAGATACTTAACAGCAGCTCAAATATAATGATTTGGAAAAAGACATGACAAAAGAAAGGTAATTTTGAATGTCTGGATTTTCCTTTGTCAGTAGTCCTTAAAAGACATGTAAAATAGAGTTAATCCCATCTCTACACTCATGCCCTTCAAGAAGAGAAGAATATCTTCCCAACCACTGTAGATTCTGTCAAAAATTTTATCCCCTTGGCCTTTTGTCTTTTCTCCGTGGTAGTTAATATATTAACCCTTCTCACCTACTCTTCTCCAAGGCTGGCAATACCATGAATTTACATATTTATCAGATCATTTTGAAGAAAGCAACATGCATCACATTGAATTACTTTTCAGGTAAAAATAAACTGAATAAAACAAGGCAAAGAAATATGCTGTCTTGCCTTCATCATTAACAAATTTACAACAAGCATTCATGACCCTATGGACTTCCATATCCAAATTTCTGTCCTTTAATCTTTTCAATTTTGAAGCAATCTTTATTACATAAATAAGTACAGATAATAAATTCTCTTACCATGATCAAGCTTTGGATATATCTGGAATTTCCACTTCATCTTGCTTAAACTCCACATTTAGGAGGAAAAAAAAMCAGAGCATTCCTTTGGGAAGGGGGAAATTAACCCCACACAAATTATCCCAGTCTTATTTTTTCCTGACTCCCTTCTGTGCAGACTTCAAAAGCTTTAAGCAGTCAGATCAAGAAAAGTTCTTGCTTCCACCCGCCCTTACACAGCACTTTCCACTGGTTCTTGAAACTGCAGAGCACTCACACATGGGCAAGGCAAACTGCATGATGGTACCTAATCAATAAATATTTTACCACTTATAGATGCTACTGCATTAGAGCGTCAGATCTGTAGTTTAACTCGCTCTCTTCCCAGCCAGCTCTCACCAGACACAAAGCGCAGCTTTTCAAGGATAACTTTAGTTCTCAGATACCAAGACACACTGTTCTTTCAGGAGTAGCCTTGTTCTTCAGCTCAACATCACATCACATGGGGGAAGCACATTAACAGTGACCAATCTTTCTTACACTATACTCAATTGGTGCTACCTGCCGTGATACTCCAGGGTTAAGCCACAGTCCTATCATTCAGGACATCTCAGTTCAAACGAGTCCAGAAGTTTGGGTTATTTTTCAGCAGAACCTCAAGTTCTAGTCAACCCAAAGTCATACTGAAGACTGAAGCTCAGTCTTCACACAGGTGTAAATGGGCTGGGAGTTACCACAGGCTAGCAGATACTAAAGGTTTGCTAAATTGACTTGTATCAGGACAGCCTTTCACTGGATAGAGCTGAGGGAGCAATAGGAGAGGAAGAGCTTAACTTCACTTAAGGCTGAACTGGATAAACTCATAGAGGAATTCCCATTTGTGGAACTTGGGATAAACAGGGGCTAGACTCCATAACCCACGTCTCATTTTACAGGCCTAAGTTTCTAAGTGTTCGTAAGAGCTTGTGCCACCTTTGTACACACAGCTTGTAGTTCAGATTTGTTGCCTTCTGTTTCATGTGCATAGAAGAAGTATTTTTTTCTGTTCAGGAGGTTTAATCATTCTGTTGTATTAAGCATACACCCTCTGAAAGAACAGAAAGCCTTCGGAAATTCCCTGGCATATAAATAGTTAACTGGACAAGTAAGGCTTAGTTGCAGAAATTAGAACCAGACTACCTCAGAACGCTCTTATCAGCAGGAGACTGCTTTATTTTAAGCAGCTTTTAAAATAAAGAAATCAATACAATCAAGAATGGGAAAAGCGGTTTACTTTTTGAGAACCGGTTCAGTAACAAAGCTCTGACCATTGACAGAACCAGAGAAGTCATTAAAAGTGGTTCTCAGCTTGTACTGCCCTTGGCCATACTAGAGAGCAAAGATGAATTACAAGACTGAAAGATGGCAAGCCCTTCATAACGTTGTAGTACAGGGATGAAACAGCTTTTTATCCTTGTGAACTAAGTTTCATGTATTCACTTGTTCATTTAATTTTCTTCTTTTCATAAAACTGAAGTGTTTGAAAAAAACCTTTAAAGACATTTTTCATGTACCARAAGTTCATGAAATACTCCTCCGTAATCACTCAGAAATGGCTTCTTCCTCTTCTACAGTCTGGGACAACTAAGTGCATTTTATCCTCATGAACTTTTCTGAGATTTCAATACCAAGTCCTGGGGATCACAGAGAACCTAGTCACCATCCTAGTCCTTTGAATTATCACAGGAAAAGGAAACCAGGAAACCATCTTAGATTCCCTCATCTACTATCACTCAGTTCCAGAATTATCATCTTGCTCTTCCTCTCCCTCAATAACTTTTTAACTAATATAGCAGAAGATGTTTTGCTGGGAGAGCATAAGAGCAGCTTTCTATGAAAGAAGAAACAGCCTTGGACTGACTTTCTAGTGCACAATGTAGCAGGAGAGCCTCAAGATCTGCATCTTGCCTTTTCAGGCATGGGATTTGAACTTCCATTTCAGAGGCCACCTTCCAGGAACACTGGGCTATCAACTCTTATTTAGACCATCTGACAAGTAGCTTCTCTCTTTCATTGTCTCTATTATTTACAGGTTGTGCCAAGATACTTGCCCACCAGACTTTGTTTCCACCTGCACTGACACACTTCTGCCATAAATTTTGGTCTTGACAAGTCTGAATTTTCAAAGGAAACAGTTTCATCAGAAGATTCTTTTCATCTCTATTTCACCTGAAAAGTTAATTAGCATTA